CGACCAGCTTGAACAATCGGACGCTCGATGCCCCATTAAGGTTAGCGATCCACCTTCAAACTTTGTCGGTCGCTCTGTCCTCCTGGACAATAATTACTCTCTCTGTTCCAAAGTATCGGCTTTCGACATGAAGATATTTACAGCAATACTTTATTCACATCTTCCCGTCAACTAGTCTGATCACCTCAGGTTTGCACTTCTTATGGTGCAACCCTAACCGCGAAGATAGTGCCTAGTCGCACTCCGTCCATAGCTAGTGAAGACACGAACTGGGCTTCTTAAGGCGTCAGTTCCCCATTCGTCTGTGGCTCCGAAGACGACCACTAGAAGGGTAAATTATAGCGGTTCTTCTTAACGTGAGCCGCCAAGAACTTAACGCCTTCCGTGAATAGCACACATCCATCCCCTAGGAGGTGGTCTGGGATACACCTCGTCCTCGCCCGAGCGAGCCTCGGATCTCAGAAGTCGGGCTAGCTCCACCACGGCAGCATGGTATCCCCCCGCCTAAGCGGTCCACTCTGAGTCGTTAACAGGGTCGGCCCCGAAGGCAACGAACCCCCGTCTCAGATGCCTACTAGGGAAAGGAAATGCACTTACCACAGCAGACTGTCAGCCCTTTGTCACCTAACGTCAATAGCGAACCTAGACGAGAAGAGAGAGAATAATTCAGTCAGACGGGTATAGGCAGAGAGGGTCATTCGGGAAAGAATGGGTAACGTTAGAAAAAAAAAAAGTCTATGTCCAATTCACTTCCTCTTCTTTGTGTGATCAAATTCCTCTTCGTCGTCTACTGGTTGCCTTTCCTTTCAACATGCATGCAGGCGAGAAAGTAGAAGACAACCACCCTTCCATTCACTTCCATTGACATGAATAGGTCCCCCTTTTTTTTTTCAAGCATTCTTCTACGTACCTGCACATCATAGGAAACAACAATTTCAAAAGAGGACAATGCGATCCCAAGCTCACATCAGACTTTCATTCGCCCACGTAAACACACATCCCCTCTACCTTTTCAATGAACGTTCAAAGGACAAGGTCGAGCAAGTGCGGGTTCACACAGGTGTGAAGGGTCTGAGTCAAACTGACCTTGAGTGAAGTTGAAGAGACGGCCCACTCAAGAAGACCGTGTAAAATCACACTCCAGAGAAGACAATCGTCACAGCAAGTCGCCCGCAAAACGATCTACACCACTTCCTAGTACAGTCGCTTGCCGCGACACCCTCTCAACACACAACCACCTCCCAGTAATTTGACGGCGTCTCCGCGTCTCCGCCACCAACCGCACCACCACGCCGTTGCCGACAATACCAGAACATGCTGCCACAAAATGCCCCTCACAGTCTAAGCGCTTCCACGTCACCACCTAGAACGTGCTGCTCCCGCCGCAAAAGTTCAGCAACACGTCCGCGTCGCTGCCAAAAAAAACACCGTCGACGCCGGAAGATTTCGACAGCACCTCCGTGTCACCACCAAAATCTCAGCGCTGCCGCTGCAAAAAAAATTGGCAGCGCTTCCGCACCACCGCCGTCAAGCCCGCGCTGCCGCCGCAAAAAAATCGGCAGCGCTTCCGCGTCACTACCTAGAACGCACTGCCGCTGCCGCAAAAAAAAAAAAAACCGGCAGCGCTTCCGCGTCACCGCCTAGAACGTGCTGTTGCCGCCGCAAAAGTTCAGCAGCACGTCCGCGTCGCTGCCAAAAAAAACACCGTCGACGCCGAAAGATTTCAACAGCACCTCCGTGTCACCACCAAAATCTCAGCGCTGCCGCTGCAAAAAAAATTGGCAGCGCTTCCGCACCACCACCGTCAAGCCCGCGCTGCCACCGCAAAAAAATCGGCAGCGCTTCCGCGTCACTACCTAGAATGCACTGCCGCTGCCGCAAAAAAAAAAAACCGGCAGCGCTTCCGCGTCACCTTCAAAAAACGCCGCCGTTGCCGTGCCAAACAGGCAGAGTTTCCCCTGCACCGCTTGTCGAAGACTCGCCGCCGCCGTGCAAGACGGGCAGAGTTTCTCCTGCACCGCTTGCTAAGAACCCTGCCGCTGCCGTGCAAAACGGGCAGAGTTTCCCCTGCGCTCCACCAGTTGCAGCGGCAGCTATGGCTGCCCTCACTCTCATGCTCCCTGCAGACCTCCAGCGCTTCCCTCTCTCTTCACCTTGCTGAGATGGCGGCTATGGCTATGTTCCACAGCTATGGCCACCTCCAACAATTCTCTTCCTCCCTCGCTTGCAGACCTCCTCTTCAGCCAGCAGCAGTTCCCCCTCCTCTCACTTGCAGCTCCTCCTAGCAGCAGCAAGCCAGCATTCACTCAAGTGAATTGCTAGCAACACCAGCCACAAATGATTGCTGGCTGGCTGCTTGCTGGCTGCTTTTATAGTTGTGGGAGGTGGTGGTAGCAGCCTGAGCTCTTAGCCAAAAATTCGAGCTCAGGCTGGGCCCTTGATCTCTAGGTGAGATCAAGGGCACATACCAGCCCCACACAGCAGAAATGGCCAGATCCATTCACACGGAAAATGACCTGGCCCTCTTCCTGTAATAAATTCAACAAGGGGAGGCTGTATTCAGCCACTTCCCTTGTTGATCTGCTACTGCTGAGGTTCAACCTCAGCAGTGCATCTTCTTCTAAACCCGGCCAAGTTCAGAGCCAGGCTTTTTAGCTGGTTTGCTGCACAAAGTGCAGCAAACCACTTGGGAACCTGGCCTCGACAGTGGCCAGGTTCAAACAAAAAATTAAAAAGGTGCCCTTTCTCTCTCTCAACCCTGACCACATTCGGTGCAAGCCTCTTTGCTAGTTTGCTGCACCAAGTGCAGCAAACCGTTTGGGAACCTGGCCCCGACAGTGGCCAGGTACGTTATTTCTTTTATTTTTGCTACTGCTCTAGCAGCCTCGTTTTGCCTCAGTCCCCCCCCCCTTCTTCTTCTCTCCTCTTCTTTTCTTTTCTCCCCTGCCCTCCCCTGAAAATGGGGATGGCAGTTGTCAGATTGGGAGAGGTAGGGAAAGAACTCGTGAAAATTCACGAGTTCAAATCCGGACAGCCTCAAAGCGGGGTGCAAAAGTACCCCGACTTTGAAGAATTTTAGAAAAGTATTCGCTAGATACAAAAATCTAAAACAATTCATGCACATGGCGTACGTGCCTGACTACCTACAGAAAAAAAATCAAGGTCAACAAAATTATTGTGCGCCACCAAAACAATAGTGGCGCAAACTGAAAAATACAGCTTCTCATAAAAACTCAGATCCCGTTTTTTTTCGTTTTCTTTTTCTTTTCTTTTTCTTCTTTTCTTTTTTTTTCTCTTCTTACCCCCCCTAACAACGGGGAGGCAGCTGGCAGGTCGGGAGGAGCAGGTCCTCCTCTCCCCATCCTCCCATTTCTCTTTCTCTCTCACTCTCCACTCAACTCCAACCCCCTCTTGCTTTCCGTGTGTGAACTGTGGGCC